TTGGAAGAAAGCTGAACTGAGAAGAGACAGACGCAGTATAGGGAAAAGTAGACGCCAATCATGCAAGCCTATGCGCAAGAGAAAAGCCGAGCGCAGCCAGGTGAACACAAAGTTGTGTCGTCGTCGAGGGTGCATGACAAGAGTGAAGGCGCCAGAAATTGAAATGACCGAGGCTATACGTGGCTGCAGAGAGAAGAAGGGTACATCGTGTATGAAGGAATCGATGATACAAGTTCAAAGAAGAAAAGGGTATCTCCGACGCCAGGGTTGCAGTTTAACCATGCCATGCAAAACCAGACAGACAGAAGAAGAAAAGTGACTTGAAGAGCAACCGGGATGAAGAAGACGTCTATTTGCCTTGACCTCCCTGGCTCGAGCCGCCCCTAGGATTGGCCGGCATTGGATATGGAAACGGGGCGTATGGAAGTTGACCTGATCCAGAGTTACTGCCAGCACTAGACGTGCCCGATGGTGAAGATCCCGAAGAAGACATGGTGATGTTCGTCACAGTTGTTGAGGCTTCGAGAGGTTGTGACTGAGAGCGCTGTGGGCGTTCGTAAGGTGTAGGAGAGCGTTCCTGTCTCTGAAGCTGTAGCGGCGAACTAGATCTTGAGCGATGACGGATAGCAAGGGGATAACCCTGTCGAGCACCCGACTCTGGAGTTTGTGTCCGTGAAGAAGCGGGCGACCTTGTAACGACAATTACGGGTGTTGACAAGGGTTGTTCGGAGGTCGATTGAGATGTATCCTCCAGACCCGGGTGTGCTGTAGAAGAGGTGGTCGTCTGAGTGACTTCTGTAGTGTAGCTTCTGGTGGGTTGTGGGTTCCTTGTCGGGCTAGACGGTTTGGAAACACGGTCGCTCATATACCAGGAGAGAAGACACAGGTATGCTTATGCTCAGACCTGGGAAGTAAGCTGGTTCGAGTGTGACGTCGCTGCTGACTAGTCCAAGTCATAAGAGTCGGTCGAAGAGGTCTGGGAACGTGTTGGTGACAGTCTTGATTAGGTTGTCGTGGTAGCTGGTGATGATGCCCTAAGCCGAAGGCCCCAGATCTTATATCTTCAACACCACGTCTTTGGCCCCAGATCCTAGAGTTTTGGCTCCCCGACTTTACGACCACCAAAGGTCGAAAATAGCAAGACTGATGTCTGAACAGAGGAATTATTGAGAAATCCAAGCCGGTCTCGTGTTGCATAATCCAGTATGTGGCTTGTTCCTGCACGCTTCGGAGTCAAGATCGTTTCTTCTATACGGGTGACCCAAGCGTCCGTAGCGTCGGTACTGTAAATGCGGTATTGGGTCATAAGGCTGTACCCGACCAGTTGGAGAAGGTGGTGAGACTGCAGCGGGACCGGTGAGTGGGTATTTAGCGTGCACGGAGAGAGCCTTTGTAGATGTGTGGCGTCCGGATCACGCTCTGCCTGAAGAGATTTGTATGCACCGTTGGCGACTATGCAGCGGGACAGTGTAGGGTTGCTGTCGTCAGATGCTTATTTGAGCCGCACGCACGACGACCGGTATGCGAAGATTTAGACAAGGTCTGTTTGGCGGGATAGGCAACGATTGAGGCATTCATGGAGAGACGTCTTTACCGCCATGCGTCGTGTTACTGACTTGTGTCGTGCTTTACTACATCAGCTATTTCCACTTCGCCGATGATATACATGGCCAAGTCTCTTTCTGGTTCCTTCTCGTATCGGGTGGCTCCCAGAGAACCACCATTTGTCCTCACTCTGATAAGCATGCCAAATCTTCAGGCACAGTGAAAGACCGGCCGAAACTTTGACACGGGTCGTATTCGTGACTTGAAGCGCTCACGCGACTCTGCCGTTGCGCATCTGGCTCGCCCCCGGTTGGCGACCACCGAGCTCGGTATAGCCGACGGGATGTTTCGATTTGAGATGATCATTTTGGCGCAACTACGAGATTCATTGGATGGTTGGCCACTAATCCAATAGAGCCATACTTGCAATGCTCGTGTCGAATGCGTTGACGAGTCAGAGGCTCCAACGGTCGCTAATATTAGCCGTCTTAACACGATTTAACACGAGGTGTAGTCACTACGAGAGAATGTTACTCAGCTATCGCCAAGCTCACGCCTTAGCCCGCGCATCGCATCCTGTCATGCAGGAATCCGTGACCCGATTAGTATTCCATGATGTCACCGCTGTCGCATGGAAGATTAGTTGCGACGTATTGGTATCCAGTGATGCGTGCGGGCTTTGGTGTTCGGAGACTTTGTCAGCGGTAGGGTTGTGCTCGCTTGTCGAATTAGGGCGTAAGAATGGCAGGGATACCGCTTGGTAGACTAATCTTTCCAAGATCCTTTCCAGAAGATTACTGAAGGCGGAACGCCATTTGACCCGTAAATGATGCCCAAATGTGCTGCAGCGTTAGATTACTACATATCTCTGGGCACATTTATAGCGGTGTAGGTACTGTCGCAGCGCTATACCATTAAATTTATGACAGAGCTGATCAACCAACGCTGTGGAATGACGGAGAGGCTGAACGAACGATGCCAATTGCAAAACCCCCACGTTCATCTACGATCACCCTAACACGGTCTTCGGTAACGAAGACCGGGAGATCTAACCACACGTTGATCAATGGCACTCGTTGCGCAGATGCGTCTGGCTCAAGACGACCTAGGGACCTAAAAGCCCTTAATTAGCATCAACTACTAGACAGCTATCTTAATTACCGGACTTTGCAATCATTGCAAATAATAGACGTACCCAGGTATTTTGCCGCGAGACGCGGTTGTGTAAGCATAACTTAAGCAGTTTTCCCAATTGTTATAGGCCTTCCCGCTTACGCAATCTGTTGGATGGCTTATTACATCGCATGCCACAATTGGCAAAAGGTACCTCAATAACATACCACAAGTGGGTGGGTTATCGGCCGACAACACTCAGCGCATATCCGATGCTGGAGATGAATCAAAGAGCCCGAGCCAGTATTTTAATCCCTCTGGAGCGACTGATATTGTGACTCTACGTCTACAATTCCATGCGCCTGGTTCTGAGCAGCATACACAAAACGAGTGCGCACGTTCTCAATAGGTATCATGGATCAGGTTTTACTGGGCGAAACAGCATTATCATCCAGCACTGCGTCATTGCTTTTCTGAATCGGTAAAAAGATACTACTCGTTGGCTACTCAAGTATGTCTTAATTGAGCGTTTGTACTATACATTGGTCTCCATTAGTACGAGTGTAGGCATTAGCAAGAGCCGTATGACCGTGGCTACGCATTCCAGACACCACTAAGGCCTAAAGAATGCATTGCTCTTCACATTGAGAGCTGGCGAAGTTGTGAATAAGATTTACCCTGGCATATTCAGCACGAATGCGTAAGTCAATATTGATGACAATGTTTAAATGAATACTGAGTAACGAGTGGCCTTGCACAATACAACAACTGTAGTCAAACGTTAGTGCGGGTTTGCTTATTTGGAGTCTTCGTTCAAATTTGACCGTGCCTCATTTGGACAGGTAGTAATGTGACAGCCTCAGCCAAAACTATTGACCGTCAGAGGAGGCAATGAAACCTTATACCTACTCATTACGAATCTTTACATGCGGTCGAAGAGCCTCATACTCCTGCGTAAAACATGTTTCTCCTTTCTCCCGTGCCTTCTTCTTGAGCATGCCCGTCGTTTGTTGTTCTTTTGCTTACGCTGCGAAGGATGACAATCGCAGCGCAAGTGGAGAGCATGGAATCACTAGAATCCCCTACGAAAGTGGTAATAGGCTAGGTAGTCTCATACCGCCTGGAGATGCCTCAGCAGCGTTGCAGCCAGGACTTCTTGGTGATCAAATGAGTGGATGTTACCAAGGTTGGCATGAGTTCGTACCTACCTAGGTAGGTAGGACAAGAGTCCTGTCCAGCAGTGCGAAGGGTACAGGACCGTAACGAGACGAGAGCTACAGCGACCTGTCCACAGGACGATGTGCTTCCATCACTGAACTCACAGATGGAAGTGTATCGGTTGAGTCGGTTCTTGTCGGTGTGCAGCGAGTGTCAGCTTGAACGCACAGATGCTGGTCAGAGCGTCGGCATGACGAACATGATGACGGACACAGAAAAGCAATATTGCGCCTGAAAAGATATACGGCTACAGGTTATAGGTTCGTTTGCAATGCCGATGAAAATACGAGACGCCAAAGGAGGTGCTGATCGCGATTGTTGAGCGGTCAAGACCTGAGATGACTGCATGCCAAACTGGACGCGAATATCGTGCTCGCGCTGACGCCAGATCACATGCGCGCGTCAATGACGTCAACCATACTTTGCAGTCAGATCACCTCATTGGTGAGGTTGTGTAGTATGCCGCAGGGAAATACTGGAGAGTTTGAACTAAAACACTTGGATGCACTTGCCGTGCCTATGTGATGGTATCTCTGGGTGCTAATCGGGAACCTGCATGCTAGATCTTAGATCGATCGCTCATTAAGTGGGGCGTCTACGATCCAGGAGACATGGCATTTACTATTGCCCATGATGCGGCGGCGGTACCTGAAACTTCTCCATGTTCTGATCCACTTGACGGTCACCCACAATGACGACTCGTCTTGAGTTATCACTGACCCAGGGGAGTACCTGGAAGGCCCCCTACACGATGACCTCGTCAATGAACACAAACGGCTAGCGACATCCACATTGTGCCTTGAGCCCAGACCTTCCTGCCTGCGCGGCAGCGGGTAGCACAGTGGATGCGAAAAGTGCTCCAATCTCAGGTACAAGTGAACTGAGCAGGCACCCGATCATTGACGTAGCAAACTTCAGGGGACTGAAATCGATCGTGCGATACATTGCATCACACCTTCACGAGACAGGGAAATGACGCTACTTTGAGGGAACCTGACGTGTATAAGAACACCGGGGTTCATCTGCTACATACTCACTATCAAATCCAGCTATTTACCATTCTGACAACCCTCACAACTCTTCCAACCATCACTACAATCTTTCCAACACCATCAAACATCACCATGTCTGCCAATCCAGGAAACGTTGTCGGAGGCCACAAGGCAAACCTCAACAACCCAAGTAAATTGCCTATGTCCCGCTGGCCTTCAACACTGACATTTTCCAGACACGTCCGACGAATCCAAGCAGCACTCTAAGGAGGTCCTTCAGGAGATCGAGAACGGTGGTGATGCGAGCGCCGTATCTTCTTCCAGTGGAGACAAGAACCCCAACAACGTTGCTGGTGGTCTTAAGGCTACGCTGAACAACCCCAACACCTCCGACGAGGCAAAGCAGAGCGCGAAGGAGAGGCTTGGTCAGGAGTAAGCCGCTGTTGCATTCGAATAATGCTTCGATGCCTTTAAGTGGATCGAAGAGCAGTGAGACATCCAAGCGGAATGCGCGGATACGGTCGTGTAGCGTTATCGACGAATGATACCATCAACAAACATATTCCACCCTTGCATCCTGTGACGTTAGACCATAGCACATTATGACAGTCCCGACTCCACCATGCAAAAGTTATGTCTTTAGCTCGCTCGAAGCATGCTTGTTATGCCTACTCTTTCTCCGACTTCAGCAAGCCCATGACAACCTCAACCACCCTCCGGAACGCTTCCATCTCTTCTTCGACGGTTCCACCCATGCCTGCACTGGCAAAACTGGATGAGTTTCCGACATATACGGGCTTTCCCGTCTTACGCGCGAGCACCTTGGATAGACGAGTCGTGAAATCTAGAGTGCCGCCGTGAGTGAAGAGCGGCGTACTAAGTGCTTCAGCAGGTTTAGCCATCTGCGCACGTCGTCAGCTTATGTACTTGCAAGATGAATGTTATCAAATATGATATTTACGTTAGGCATGGCGTATACGAAGGAACCAAGGGGTGCAGAAGTCGCAGACTCAGCTGCAGCAGTCGTGAGGAAGAGCAACAAGTTTGGGCCGTTGTCCGTGAGCTGGAGATGTATATTTGTATGTGGTGCCTTTGGGAGAGGGAATGAGACTTCAGTGAGCGCGTGAGTTGTGATGCCGTCCATGATTGCAGTAGCCATTGTCGCGTGTTGAAGGCAAGCGCGAAGAGTCAAGTCGCGATGATGATGGAGGACCGAGGCAGGTGGGGCAATAACTGCGAACCTCACCCTGAAGCCTGTCACGAGACAATAGCAACCCAAAGGACTTAGCGAACACAAACAACAATTGCAACAGTCAGCAAAGCCACAGACCACTTACGAAACTCAAGGCATCATCAACCTTTTCTGAATGAAAGATGAAAGCAGCATCGCGAGAACCCTATGACCCTACCACAGACCCTGAGGAACAAAATCTCATCCTCTCAGTTTTAGACTCTTTTCGGTATGCTCACACGTGCCTCACCAAGATGACACCGGAAGACAAGTGGCTGACATCTCCGCAGCTCCTACCGCCGCCTTGCTCACTACAATGGGACACACCTGCGCCGCCAAGCCTTCTATTCCCTCCCACAATCGCATTGGACACTGCTATCCCGCCCGCCCTTCTCTATCCTGTCTACGCTCTCTCAAATAGACGACCTGATTGACAGCAATGCCGAGCTAGCAGAAGCTATTTTCGTAGCAGGTTTCAAAGCCTTCCTAGCCCCCACTCTAGATAGTGATTGGGTAGCTTCAATTGTGCCAGAGAAATATGCATGCGACGAATACAAGGTCTTCGACATTATCATGGATGAGCTTGGAGCAAAGACGAGTCAGGGTGATGTGGACAAGGCACGGAGTTGTGTAAATCAGTTTTGGAGGGAGTGGAGTCAAGCAGGGCATGCGGAGAGGGTCAAATGCTTCGATCCCGTTGTAGCGGCAGTAGAAGAAGAATTTGCATCAAGAAGCAGTACCACCCCAGATTTGGATCGCGCAAATCTTAAAGTTCTGGTTCCTGGGGTTGGGCTGGGACGTCTGGTCTTCGATATCTGCCGTGCAGGCTTCAGCGTCGAGGGAAATGAGATTTCCTACCATATGCTCATGGCAAGCGCGTTGGTCTTGAATGACACAAAAAGTACTGGACAGTTCAAGATTGCTCCCTGGGCACTGAACAGCTCAAACCACGTCTCTCGGGAAGACCAACTGAGAACCGTCAGAGTACCGGACATACATCCAGCGACAGAATTAGCAAAAGCAGCGGCCTCAAGAGTTCCAGCCGGTGAACGAATGAGCATATCAACAGGCGATTTTTGCGTTGTCTACGGTCGGCACGACTATACAGATGAATTCGATGCAGTAGCGACTGTCTTCTTCATTGACACTGCGCCGAATATTATTCGCTATATCGAAGCTGTTCGTAACTGCTTAAAACCAGGAGGCTTATGGATTAATCTTGGTCCACTATTGTGGCATCCACCACCACGGAGAGTGAACGACGAAGGTAAACTGGCCGAGGATGGAGAAAGGAGAGCCGATGTGGACGCAGGGATTGGTGATCCAGGTTCGGTAGAACTCACACATGACGAAGTAATTGCATTAGTTGAGCATTTTGGGTTTGTGATGGAGAGACAAGAGCATGGTACTATCGAGACGGGATACATCTCCAACACCCGGAGTATGCTGCAAAATACATACCGCCCTTCGTTCTGGATAGCGAGGAAGAAATAAGAAGATACCCACATCTACTGATGGCGGCTACACTGAGATCTTCTTTCGCACATGCTCTTTATTCCATTATCAAGACTCTTTGATACGACGCATGCACAAGATAGCTCTGATGGTGATAAGATTGAAGGTTTATGGTTCGTGATGAAGAGCAGTTTGATATATAAAGAAAGAAACATCCTGCTTCCCAAGCCTCGAAACCAGAACGAGAGCGAATATGGTATCATGCAACAAATGTACAAAGAAATGGAACCCTGATATCGCCCCTCACAAGACTCCAGCTGTCAGTGTTTGTGTTGTAATATGGTTCAAGCAACCATGGTCTGATTGGGGTAGTCAGGTCCTTTGCCTTCGGACCCACCCAGTCGAGCGTTCGCATGTGCAAGGCTAGATTGTGCAGCTTCTTGGAGCTGGGTTTCGACGTTTCGTTCCCGCTCCCGCTCATGTGGGGTGTTACGGCCCGATGGTACCCGTGCATCGTGTGAGCCATCGCGCTGTGGTGGGGGTGGCTGTGTATGTTGATCTGAAGGTTGGTGGTGGGCTTGCTGATGCTGAGGTGTGTGCTGGCCGTTGCTGTGTGAGATATGCGATGGTGTTGGCACATGATGTGAAGGACTCATCATCGCAGCAGGACTTCCCGTACTTGCGCGATCACCACTTTCATGGTCGCTAGTCTCACTCTGACCATTGCTGGTAGTACCGGGCGGGTAGGTATATCCACCGCGTAACTCACCCTCTTTGACTTCTTTCCATGAGCACTTTGCATGCTTCTTCGTGCACCCCACACATGCCGTGAGGTTCTTCAGGCAATCCATGTGTAACCTCCGACAGCGATCACACGGTGGAATTATGCGTTCACCCTTGGCTAGACCTTCCATCCTGTGTACCATTTCAACCTTGAAAGGGCCTCCGTCATCCTTCTCTGGTTGTTGACTGGCGCGTTGACTCGAGGCGGGAAGGAGATTGGAGGGAGTGTTGGGTATCGGTACAGGCGAGTTCATCATGGAGTGCAGCTCAGACTCATTGAGGGGTTGAGGTGGCCTTGTAATATGTTGCAGCGGAGCCTGAGGGCCATCGGCGGGCTTCGGGACAGCCCTAGTTGGAATTGTTGCAGGAGTAGATGGGTGAGAGACTGCATGGCTGCCCATGGACGGTCTCCGTGCATCGGCGGTGCTATTTGGTGGCTGCGAGGATGAACTCCGACCATTTGTTGTATGAAACTTGGCTAGGAGTTCATGACGGGTGGACGACGAAGTACCGTGGCCGCGGCTATGACTGTGGCCGTGCCCGTGACCATTGGCTTCATGATGCTGACGCGCATTGACTGCGACGAAGCCACCACTACCACCTGGTGATGTCTGCGAGGCTTGGGTATGAGCTTGAGCGTGTCTCTGGCTGTATCCCAAGTTCGGGGCGCTCGAGCTGCCGCCATTCATGAGTGCGACGTTGGAGGGGCTAGTAGGGCGAGGAATGGGAGGAGCGGGACTTGCGGTTGCTCTTCGATCGAGGATGGCCTGCTTGCGACCCTTAAGCCTGTGATTGAGCTGCCGAGTGCGAGCAGCGACTGTCGAACGTTAGCGAATTAGATGCTAGTTATGGTGCTTGGTCAGACTCACCCTGATCGGCCAGTGAGCATATCTGGCTCAAGTTCTTCTCTAGAATCTCCATGGTGCCCAGCTCCTTCTCCTCATCTTCTATGATGGGTTGCGGAGGAATCATCTTCTGCGGAATGCCCGATGATATCAATACGAAGTCCTCCTCTGAGATCTGGACTCGACACTGCTTGGTGTAGAACTGGCAGACGCGTACCCCTTCGCTCATCTGGTCCAGCTGGAACTGCTCCGGCTTGTTGCGCGCAAACTCGACCACGTCCAGCCAGGTCACCGTCGTCCCGTCTTTTCCATGGCTCTTGAGTACTCGTGGGGGGCCGTCGAACAGCCTTTCGAATCGCTTGATCAAGATGGGTCCCAGCGGTCTTGCGCCCAGGTTGCAGGCCATGCTCTCGTGGCGGTCCAGCACGCCCTGGTAGTCGCTGAGGACGGAGAGTATGTTGGGCAGGGTGTCATCGTTGGTAATCAGCGGCAGGTCCTTTTCGAGGTGTCTGGCGAGGTAGTTGATCTGGAGGTGGTTGTGGGTCTTAGCGGCTTTGGGGACGGGCGCGGGCGAAGCCAGGTGCATCTCATGAGAAGGACTGCGTTTGCGCTTGAGGTCGCTGGGCAGAGACGGCGCATGGTGCTGTGTCGCATGCGAGGGCATGGTGCGCTCAGCCGCAGCGTGCGATTCCGGGTTGGCCATACCTTGGCCTGGAGGGATGCCGGGTTGGTGATTACTACGAGGGCGGAATGAACGGATGGCAAGATTCGAGGGTGGAGCGGAGGACGCTAGGCTCGAACAACTCAGCACAAGCACACTACAGGGCGCTCGCGTCTAGTCGCGAAGGCCCGAATTTACAGGACAAGATACATAACGCACGAGGGAATGGTTGGGAGAGTTGCAAAGGCGAGGGTGGAAAGCCAAACGGCTGCTCGGTGGCTGAAGAGCCCCGAACGGAAAGCAGAGGGGCGGACAAGGAAGCACCCATCGTACCGGAAATAAGAAAGAGCTTTCCAAGAGCGGCCCTCCCAGCCAATCACTGGTGGTGTGCAGCTAAAAGCGGCCCAGGCGTTTTGATGTGCAATAAATGCGCATCGCGGGCGATTCAGGTTCTGCCGACTTTCCGACAGACAGCCACACCACGGCCACGGGCGACGCTGAAACTAGCCCGGCTGTGGCAGAAGTGTGTGAGGTGCTTCATGGTACCGTATGGGAGGCCAGGACGGTGGCAGCGACCCTGGGCTGGCGTCGTCGTCGTCGTCGTCGTCGTCGTCGTCGTCTGGCGGCATGACGAAAAATGCCGCAGGACGCGTGGGCCTGGGTGAATCTAGCTGCTAAGAACCAAGCGCCACAGCACGGCGGAGGTCTGGAAGCAATGGCGGAAATCATCTTTCCACCCCTGCGACGCCTCCTGCCAGACAAGCTGCACGTGACCGGGATGTGGGGTGGCCGCCCTGGAGGAAGGAGCCTTTCCCGGAACGGCACAGACCACCAAGTCTTACTGGCCGCCCGAGCTGCACCTCACCATACGCTCCAACATCCAAATCGCCTCTCTTTCTCTCCACGCTAATACCATGTCTGAGCGAGGCGCATTCCGGGGCCGCGGTGGAGGTCGAGGAGGCGACCGCGGCGGAAGGGGAGGTGGCCGTGGTGGCGGTGCACAGGCTGGAGGTGCTGGGGGACAGACGGAGCGCCCAAAGAAGGAGAACATTCTTGACCTGAGCAAGTACATGGACAAGCAGATCACAGTCAAGTTCAGCGGAGGACGAGAAGGTACGCATCTTGGCGGGGGCCAGGAAATGATGTATTGCGAAGGCGCGCTAGAATCTAACTTGTTGCAGTCATTGGCACACTCAAAGGCTACGACCAACTCATGAACCTCGTCCTAGATGAGGTCAAGGAAGCATTGACTGGTATGTGCCCCTCCGCTGTCTCCACGCGGATATCTCTGACCCTGTGTAGACGAGGACGGCAACATCCGCTATCGCAAGCTCGGCCTCATTGTCGCACGCGGCACCCTCCTAGTCGTCATCTCGCCCGTGGACGGAAGCGAAGAGATCCCGAACCCCTTCATACAGGAAGAGGAATGATCCAGAGACTAGCAAGAGGCATCTAGCCCTTCCTTGAAGCCTACGGCGCAAAAACAACCGGCAGGACAGCGGCAAGGATCGGGGACATTGCATGGAAATGAGACCTTATACGATACCCACGAGGCATATCCAAGACACAGACACGGCACAAAATTTCTATCGAGAGAAATACAGCGTCTGAGGGTCTTCGCGCTCTTGATACCATCACAGACAGCAATATGAAAAACTTACGAGAGTTAGGATGCTATCTTAATTCGCCGTCTTTACTCTGCTTCGTCCCGTGGTACGAGCATAACAGTCTTAGGATGACACCATGATCACGCTCATTGCAAAGATGAAATACACTTTTGCACAACGACATCTGATACTAATCACTCCTCACACGAGGTGTTCCATTAGGGGACATTGCTGGTCCTTGACCAGATGAGAACGCTGCTAAGCTAGCTGACCGGGATGTTGATCACCCGGGGATGTTGATCACTCACAAATCTCAGCACTCCCACACAAAACACGTGTTTATTTTCTTAACGTAGCTATAATTGCCACTCCGTACACATAGAC